GTAATCTTTTTCAATATTTATTTAGTTCGTTGACAATTTTATGCGTCAACAACTGAAAGAAATAGGGTTTACACAGGCAAATGAAATTGCGTATATTTTCCATTTCACGCAGGAAATAAGTAGGCCTATAATTACTTATTATGAAAAGCAAACTGCATTCATATTTTCACATCTTCGAAAACAGTCATTCAGTTCTTCTTCTTGTTCTTTGGATTGGTTGTTAAACCTACAATTTATTGTCTTGCAATACACCATGCCAAATACGTCTGTGTATGGTATACCAGCGTGCGCATTGTCTGATGAATTTGATCGAACATTTCTTGAAATCGATTGAAAAAAGACGAATTCAATCCTTACATTATGTACATGGTCATCAGGTGAGACGAATTCCATTGAAATTTGACGACATCAAATGGACAAATGTTGAAATTGATCAATTGGAATGACCAACGACAAACGCGTTCCAGTCTTCTGGAGACGAAATTGAAGTTAACTGTTTATGAATTGGAATGAATTAAGTTTCAAAATGTGCAGGAAAACCTATGTATAAAGCAATGTACATATATCGGGGTTACAATGAGACATTTGTGTATGTGTGATATTAGTTTCTAGTTTTTGGCAATTAACGTAGATCAAGTAGGGGACCCATGTCTTCACAACAGATGAGGAAAACTATACACATTGCCAAAACTTGACTTTGATGCATACTTTTTATATTATATCTTTGAAGGTACTGCCAAAGGCATATCTAATGTTGTTGCAAAGGAGGCTGTCGGACGCTGTTTTACCAAGAACTACGCCACAGCAAGTGGCATTGCACGGACCGGCTACTCCGTGGGACTGATCGTCTTCGCGCCCCTGGTCCAGCTTTTCTTAGACACCTACGGCTGGAGAGGAACCATGTTACTAGTGGGAGCCATCACCATGCATTCTGTTGCGAGTGGCGCCGTTATGGTAGCAACGAGGCAGCCTGAGCTCGATCAGTCAAACGCATACCAAACGCTCCCCCAGACCGAACACACTAATTCGCCATCAGCACATGAGAGCACTCTCCGTTCTCACTGTGGTTCGCTGTGGAAGTTCGTCTCTAAGAACTTCGAGGTGGGACTACTTCTCAATTCGCGCTACTGGTTGGTGGCCGTCATATCTTGCTGCACGATCTACGCGTACCTCATGTGGATTGTGTATTTCGTGTCCCAGGCGCAGTCCAACGGGTTCACTTTGGAGGAGGCGGGGTCTTTCGTGACCATCGCGGGCATTGCGAACCTGTTTGGTAAAATCAGTCAGGGACTGATCACCGACCGCGGAGTGATGTCCTCGTGGACTCTGGTTGCCGTTTGCCTCGTTATGAGTTCCGTCTCGTACCTTGCCTCCTCTTTGCTGACTTCTTATTGGCCAATGATGACGTCAGCGGTGCTGATTTTGTTCAGTGACGGGGTCTTGTCCTGCCAGACGGATGTTCTCGTCAAGCAGGTTCTTGGTGTCGAGCTATTGGCGGGTGCTTTTGGCTGGATCGGGCTAAAGGTGACGTTATTATTAGTCGCTTTGGGATTTCTGCCTGGTACGTATAAGCCTTATAAATGAATGTCGTTTCCTTACGCCACTTTCTTCACTGCACGGAGTAGTCTAGTATGTAGTTTCAATATACAAGTAATAATTATTAGGAAGTACTTTAATTCATGGTGTTACTTGTGTGGCATCACTGGCAATGTGCATCACACCATGCAATAGCATAAAAGATCAACAATGTCAAACCATTCTACGAGACTTCGCGATTTCAATTTTACCTTCTGTCTCTGTTTTAAGGTTTGGTTTACGACTTGACCGGAAGTTACACAGCAGCCTTTCTACTGATAGGCAGCGTGCAGGCTGTACCACTGGTGCCTTTGCTGATGCTAAGATATTCTCAACGGTAGAACCTCTGAGAGTTTTTTTGCATTGGAGGGTTTCATAATTGACTGTGAGTCGATCGGAGTTGAAACAGAAGCATAAGGACATAATGTACATTGAACAAGTGTGTTTTGATCAATTAAAGATTAGTTGCACGCAATCCTGGCTTTATGCCTTTTCCTGGCTTTATGCCTTTTCCTGGCTTTATGCCTTTTGGTCTGTGTCTGGTGTTGTTGCTATTTTCTATGGGTGTGGCAATCTTGCCATACCTCGTGTGAACAACATTCATCCGAGTATGATAATGTAGCATGGCAGTGGCGCACCCAGGATATGGTTTTGTGGGGGGGGGGGGCTCACAATTTTTTTTTACATTTTTTAGAAGTAAAATTTTTGTCAAAAAATTCTGCCCACAATTTTTGGCCGCAGAAAAAAAATGGGGTTTTGTTTTGGGGGCGGACTATTTTGACGTTGGTGGCGCCACTTACATCCCTATTATACTACTCGAAAATAGGCCACATTATCACCAAGGTCCAATCGTGGGCAACCGCGTCCCCAGGGTGTCGAGCAGTACGCGCCCACCACTACCTGCTCTCTCACCCTGGTATTGGATCATTTGCATGTGCAAGATTTTTGAACACGTATGCAAATGAGGAATAGTCTGGCGCCTACTTGGGGGGGGGGGACGGGGCCCTCACTCTTTCTGAAGCCATCGCCCCAAAATGGGACACTGTTTTTTTGAAAATCCTGTATGCACAAAATTCATTCAAACGAAGATCCACAATTACGAGGGAAACATCTGCAGCCAGACGCCTAGCCATCTGTTACCTTCACAGCCTTTCAATCATACTAATTATCTATTTGGTTATTAGTTTTAATTAGCTCGATGTAGACATACATGCATCAACATCACGGGGGAAAACATAACTAGAGGTTCGCGTTTGTTGTTACAAACGCAGAGTGGTCGGGTAGACAACTATTTTATGAAACAATGTCCAGTTAACGGGAACATGTAATAGGATTTATATGACTTAAATACATTTAAAACAGCTTTCTTGCCATGTAACTATGAAGTTTCCACCTCCTTTGTAGCAGTAAAAGAGAGAAATGTTAACATTTTAAATTTTCAAAGTTTTTATGCTAATGACAATTTCCATATTCATGAGTCAAAGCGTGATGTCATTCAAGGCAGAACCGTAGTGTCTCCATAGCTTTGTGTATACAAATATATATCAAAGTTTTCTTCATTTTCTTGGAGTAAATTCAACTTTTTATTGTTTATCATGTAAAACAGCTTATTTGGACAATCGAAGTGGCAAATATTTCTTCAAAAAAAATTTTTGTGCGTAATTTTGAAGGACTAATTTTTGTACTGTTCATAACGCACCTTTGGCAAGGAGTACCTTGTGTGACAAAAGCAAAATAGCGCCCTCTTATATATTGATGAAAGGATTTACTAATAATTTAAAAACTACCACTTTCTTGTCACTTCCAATGAAAACAAGTATTAAGATCTTGTGTGTAGTGTTGCAACACATAGTAATGTGCATGAAAACAAGATGAGCTAAATTTCCACTGCATGTTTCCTTTAAGTTATGAATATTTTTATGTAAGAATACCTGCTCTCTCACCCTGGTATTGGAAGATTTTTGAACACGTATGCAAATTAATGCAAATGAGGAATAGTCTGGCGCCTACACGTGCGTTACATTAGCGTTTGTTTTTGTATGCGGTGTCTGGGGTTTAAAACAACATCAATTCGTCGAACCGTAAGTCATGAAAACACATTTTTCTTTTAAAGTTAAAATGTTACCATCTGGCCTGTCAATTTGCAGTATTACATTTCAGGTTAATAAAAGCAAACTTGAAAGGAAAGGAGTATTTTTGTTAAGGCGTGGATGTCTTAATAACAATGGTCGTGAAAATACGTAATGCACATTGGAAATAACAACACCAACTTCACGGTAAAAATCCATTACTAGCAAATTGCGGTATCGAATCAGGATACAGGGAGAAGGTTTCCTATCCAGGGCTTACTATTGGAAACGAGGTTGGAAATAAAGTAAGCGCTGGGGACGAGGCTGAATAGTGGGACTAAAAAAAAAATAATACAAATAGAAAAAAATTAAAAATGGACAATTTTTTTTTGGGGGGGGGGCTCAACCCCCCCCCCCCCCCCCCGCCCCTTGGGTGCGACACTCCAACCTTCAAGGACTCCCCCTCCAACCTTCAAGGACTGGAATGCATTATCATCACTTGCAATCTCATCCTCATCATTGAATGTATTGTATTTTTAATCTGGCCTTAGCAAGTACAGTACTAACTTAAACAGTAGGCCCTATATAATTTCGTCTAGAAGATCCTATTGCTGCCGAGCGCATCGCACGTTTGCGCGACGGTGCAGGCGACGCCTTTGTCTGCCGATGCAACCATATATGAAAATACACCATGTCCATCACAAATCATTCATCTATATATCCCGGTGGTAGATCGTCATCGATAGATTACTAGAATGTTGAGTGTTTCCGTAAGTTTGCCTGTATTTGTTTTGAAAAAAGTGTATGAAACAAGCCGTTGCTGATTTGAAGATAATACATGTTTGCGAAATAGCCCGAATGCCTATCGGTCGCATATAAAACTTTGAGGAATCTTGATCTTCACTTTCTCTTAATTTTCGTAACCTTTTAAAAAGCCGCCCTTTCGGACTCGAACTCGAGGGATTTCTTGGGGGGGGGGGGAGGGAGACGGAGCCCTCACTCTTTCCGAAGCCATCGCCCCAAAATGGGGCACTGTTTTTTTGAAAATCCTGTATGCACACAATTCATTCAAACGAAGATCCACAATTACGAGGGAAACATCTGCAGCCAGACGCCTAGCCATCTGTCACCTTCACAGCCTTTAAATCATACTAATTATCTATTTGATTATTAGTTTTAATTAGCTCGATGTAGACCTACATGCATCAACATCACGGGGGAAAAAAATAATCACCATTACTTGCTAATGTAGCCAAGGGAAGAGTTATTGGTTTGGTCTAGCAGGGAACTCCTCATGTGGCCGAAGGCTACTTATAGTTAATAAATATTGATGTGAAGCGAGTGGACACGGAGAGATGACTAGATTTGATTAATTTATTCGGATGAATCTATACAAAATATACAGTTGTGGCTCTCTCGAATATATATACAAAAAAAACGACAGTCAAATGGGTATACAGTTGTACGTCTGTGGAATTAAAGAAAACAAAAATGGACATCTCATTAGTTTGTTATCATTTAAAAATACATGTACATAGCAATTCAATTCAGCATTTACAGCTTAGCTCCGCAATGTAAATACGTTAATTTATCTGTAACAATTGCACCATATAATCCTGAAAGAGGTTCAATATATTTTCTTCTCAGAGTTCCAAGGATATGCAATAAATGCATTATAAAATCCTAAATCCATCCATTAATAATAGGCCAGCGAATAATTATTATTGTCAGAGTCCGTGTCCTTTAGGACACACCGTAGTGTTTATGCAAAACCGTGATTCCATCATGTCTATTTATATCACATGTGACTTGCCATCTTATAATGCGCTGTGCGAAACGGTCCTTTTTGGGTCCGCCACCAAACGTGTAGGTAGGTAGGTTAAATCGTGTCCCAAACCCTAACTATTAAGGATAAATTTGCTAGATATATTACATAATTACTATGCCATATTCTCTCATTATCATCCCTGTCTCCATTGTGCAAATCTCAAGTCCATGTGCTGAATCGTAAAAGGGTAATTTGGGATTCATTTATCGTATCAATCTGGTGAAAACGTTTGCGGGTAAAGCACATGGTTGTATACAACGACTGTTTCATGTCGGGTACATAAAATTACTGTTGCGTGTTTTACTCTTAGCTTTTGCTGATAAAATTGGAAAAACTTCAACATCCAGGAATTTAATTATTTAACTGAAGCTATTTGGAATGTGTACATATATTTGTAAAACTTGTCATCGTGGAAACTGGTTGTCATCCATTTAATTTTTCCTTGCTTAACAAAATCCAATCAGTCACAAAACTAATAAGATAATTCTAACATTTAAACTAATATTTGGCGGAGCCTCATGGTGCATAATACTGCCCATGGTCTCTGAAACAGTGCTTTAGTTTACTTAAGCATCAGGTAATAAGAGAAACTTGAAGAAGCACGTTCTACTTTAGTTATTGCTTTACATTTCTTGCTAATTCACCTTACAATTATGGCCAATTATGCCTAAAGCTGGTGGGAAAAGGTGATATTTTATAGCATGTATTCCCTTTAATATCGAGAACACTTCTCTTTCAAGCATAATTACAATTGAAGAGAATCAAACCCTTTGTATTATGTGAAAATCTATCCATAGTATCTTTACACAAGGCTTCTACAAAATTTACAATAAAAATTGAAAAGAAAGATATAAAAATTAGGTGTGTACTCACCGCCTAGGCTGAACAACGGTCGTGCCACCACCAAACGAAGGGGAAATTGTCCCCAACTAGCTGTAGTTGAGCTATAATCAGAGCACTTCTGAATTATAGGTGTGGTCTGATCGCAAGCAAGTGGATGAGTGTCTCTAGCAATGCCTTGTCATGACACGAAAGCTAAGTTATGCAGCTCGCAATGCAGCTCAGAAAGTGTTAACAATATTCTGGAATGCAAGGTATGTTGAAATGTTCCTGGCCAATGCAGCTAGTTATGCTAGAATGTGATTGCAGGAAAGTTAAGGAACCAAGCGAGGGCGTTGCAATAAAAAGTTTCTGTAACTACAGAGGGCGCTAATTATGTTATCAAAATAATGGCTCATCATATTGTACAGCCTATGTACTATGCTTATGATTATATTAGAAATATTACCGAGACCTGTCTGTTGTAAAACACGACAGGTCACACTCACCCCCTAATTTAAAAAAAAAAGAAAACTATACGAGGAATAAGTAGACTATGAGGAATAAGTAGCAGTAGTTAGATGGTAGTATGTACAAGTTCAAGTTTCTGCCTCTACAAATGCCAACTTATCCTAGAATCTTCCTAGAGGATACTGCATGGTGAATACCTAGTGATCAATATCAATTAGAAATATCTCGTAGTCCAGACTCAGTATATCACTAAGAGCGAGTTGACCTCATGGACTAATATAAAGATGTTCTAAATATCACAATAAAGATGATAAACTAGGCTACTATTCAAACCAAATGTCCCCTAGTATGATAGAACTATCTAGGAGGGTATTATACAAAACAGTCCAACCTAGGATGTCCCTAGAAACGAGTTAACCTCAATGCACTGATGAAACCTTCTAGTCATTCTGCGAATAGGGCATGTAAATGGCTGATAAGAAACTTGACAATACCTACAATTTGCTAATTAAACTGACAATGCGGTCGCATCTAAATATGCGAAGTAACCTCGACACTATGGCCTTATTTTAAATTTACTTCAATCTACCCTTGATTAAAGCTAATTTATAAATGTATGTTAAAAATATGTACAAACTTCATAACTAAACCACTGTAGTCAACCATCCAATGACTTCATGAACGTTACAACATCAACAATTCTCATCCTGTGTCGCCAACACCACTGAAAACATGGCTGGATCAATATGACAAGGATACATGATGGAAATAGCCAGAGTAAATGAAAATATCCAACTATTTGTCCAATGTTAATTGCTACAAGAAGGATCACAAGAAAGATCAATAGCAATATTATTTGTCTGTTGCTAACAAATGCGATATGTTGGCGATTCAAGACTGAGCGTGGTTCACGATGTGGATTACTGTGTTGACCCTTTGTAGTTCGTCGAGATCGACGCAATGCAACTGGAGGTCGTTGTGGAAGTTGACGTCTCAATGAAGGTTTTGGAGGGGGTCTTGCCTCAGGATCTGGGGCAACCGGTCTATCTGGCTCTTGAACCGAATCCACAACTACATCCTCAGCCGGCAAGAAAACTTCAATGTCATATTCCGCGTCTGAGCCAGAATCTGAGGAACTCACCATCACCTTATCTATTTCCTGACTTGGAGAAGGAAAGGATGTTGGGATTGTAGGGACCAATTTCAGCTCAGCCGAATTCACGGTTTTTTGTTTACCGCTTCCATCTGCCAGTTCTATGAAGTACACAAAAGAAGTCATATCTGGTCGCTGTACTACTCGATATATGTCTGGAAAATAATAGTCCTGAATCTTACTTCTGCCACGACTATGTTTACGAAGGTAAACAAGATCACCTATTTTGAAGATGTTGGGATTAGCTTTGCAGTCAAAGTGTTTCTTGCTCTTGCTCAACTGGTGCTGTAGCTTGGTTTGTGCTAAACGGTAGGCTTCTTTAAGTCGAGACTGATGAAGTAGCAGCCAATTGTCGTCAGAACCCTTTAACACATCTGTGTTTAGTAACAAGTCAACCGGCAAAAAAGGTTGACGACCAAACATTAGATAAAAGGGAGAAAAACCTGTAGAAGAGTGTTCTGTGGAATTGTAGGCAAAGACTAGTTCTGGTAGGTACTTTGGCCAAGCACGTTTCTGGTCGTCTGACAGGGTACGAAGTAGGTTATGCATCGTTCTGTTGAATCGTTCGCATTGTGCATTGCCCTGAGGATGATATGCTGTAGTTCTTGATTTGTGGATGTTGTAGAACTGACAAAAGTGCTGAATTAGCACACTCTCAAACTGACGACCCTGATCAGAATGAATACGTCGAGGAACCCCATATTTCATGAACCACTCTTTGACTAATGCAGCAGCTGTAGTCCTTGCAGTTTGATCCTTTGTTGGAACAGCTACAGTGAACTTTGTAAAAATATCCGTGATCACCAAGACATTTTCTGTATGGTCTGTGGATGGTTCTAACAATGTGAAATCAATAGCAATGATCTCCAAAGGCTTTGAGGCGACCAAATGTCCCAGAGGATTTCTCACAGTTGGTGTAGGTAGTTTGGCAACCGAGCAGCGCTCACACTCATGAACCCATTTCTTCACATCACGGTACATATGCGGCCAATAACAACGACGACGAACCAATGACATTGTTCTCTCTTCTCCTTGGTGCCCAAAGTCATTATGTAAGCTTGTAAGAATTCTCGACTTGAGTGATGAAGGCAGAACTAGCTGATGTAGTGGACCAAGTTTAGGATCCGTTACCTCCCTGTACAAAACACCATTTCGAAGTGAAAGATGTTTAGCCTGTCTCAAAAGAACTTTTACAGCGGACGATTCTGTTTTCCTACTGGCTTTATCTGCGTCTTTGGAGTTGTGGTAACCTAAGTAGCGGTGTATGTCTGGATCAACTTCCTGTAATTTGATCAGTTCGGAATTTGACAAAGATGGAAAGGCAGATATAGTGGAGCCAATTTCTGCTTGAATTCGCATTGGACCAAGGTCAACGACATTCTCCGACATTTTCACCTGCAAATCCACTGGCAAAGGAGTGAAGGGAAACTGAGCATTTCCACTTATTGCTACCATTTCAGAAATTGTGCAGCTGTCTTCAGTTTCTATCGAGCACTGTCGAGATAAGCCGTCAGCATTTCGATTGGCACGACCAGGACGATAGACTATATTAAAATCAAATGGTGCCAGACTTGAAACCCATCTCTGTTCTGTTGCTCCAAGTTTTGCTGTGCTAAGGTGACTCAAAGGATTGTTGTCAGTTCTAACAGTGAAAGTAGATCCATATAGGTAGTCTTTGAACTTCTCTGTTATGGCCCATTTTAGTCCCATCATTTCCAGTTTTCTTGAGCTGTAGTTTTCCATCTTTTTCTCGTTTTCTCGAAGAGAACGACTCGCATACGCTATGACCTTTTCCTGATTGTCCTGGATCTGAGATAACACAGCACCTAACCCACTCAGACTAGCATCTACATCCAAAATAAAGGGTTTAGTGAAGTCTGCAAATGACAAAATAGGTGGGTTAACAAACTTGGATTTCAGTTCATCCATGGCTGTTTGACATTCTGGAGTCCAATGTTTTCGGAAAACTTTTGGAGAACTGCTACGACACTGACCAACCAAAGTATGTAGTGGCTTCGCAATCCTTGCAAAGTTAGGGACATAACGTCGATAATAGCTCGCAAAACCTAAAAAGGCTCGCAGCATCTTGACTGTACGAGGAACAGGCCAGTCGACAATGGCTTTGGTCTTGTCGGGATTCGATGAAACACCATCTTCAGATAACACATGACCCAGATAAGATATTTTCTTGCAGAACAAGTGGCACTTGGAAGGCTTCAACTTGAGTTTATGTTCTCTCAGTCTGTTAAAAACAGTGTCAAGATGCTGTAAATGATCATCAAAGGTCTTGGAAAAGATGCAAATGTCGTCAAGATAGACAAAGACCATCTGATACATAAGATCTCCCATGCATCTCTGCATAAGTCTCTGAAAAGTAGCTGGTGCTCCACAGAGGCCAAATGGCATTCTAGTATATTCGTATAACCCCATAGGTGTCACAAATGCCGTTTTTTCCTTATCTTCATCTCTTACTCTAACCTGATGATATCCACTGGCCAAGTCCAAGGAAGAGAAAAACTTGGCACCGACTGGAGCGTCAATGAGTTCATCAATACGTGGAAGAGGGAAAGCATCTTTCTTTGTGACTTCGTTTAGGCGCCTATAATCTACACACATACGTAAAGAACCATCCTTCTTCCTAGCCAACACAATGGGAGCGGCATATGGGCTAAAACTTTCATGTATGATGTTGTGGTCAAGAAGTTTCTGGATGTGTTTCTTCACTTCGTTGTATTGATTAGGTGGAATGCGCCTGAATGTTTGTGCTGTAGGTTCCGAAGTTGTTGTTTTTATGTGATGTTCTACGGTGTCAGTGTCACCTAGGTCAAGATCATGAGTGGCAAACACATCTCTATGTTTTTCTAGCAACTTCTGTATCTTCTCCATCTGCTGGTCGTCACCCTCAAACTCAGACAAATCTATTGGAACTGGCGAGGCGGTGCTCGTATCTGCTCGATCGACACGAATTTCACTTGCAGTTACTGTGAAATTTAATTCACCTGAGTCCTGCCCCACACTGTCAACTGAACGTAACACTCCAAGTCTAGTCTTGGGATGGAGAGTATAACCAGACCTAGAAATGTTGTCTATTCTCACCGGAAAAGACTTCTTCACTTCAACTAATGTAGAAGCTACAAGAATCCCTACAGGAAAATGATCGCTGTTCCGCAGTGGTTCGACTACTGCCAGTTGAAAAGGAAGATCTTGTGGCACTCTGGCCATCACCGTCACTGACGTTTCTGGAGGGATGTATACCACCTGGTTACAAGATTGTACAATGGCAACCATCTCTTGCTCCTTAACCTGCGCCTCAATCTGCATGCTCAAAACAGATCTTAGAAAATGCAAAGGGGAAGACTCCCTGAGACAACTATCTGTCAGGGAATCGACCAAAAATGCCAACACATTCATTCCAAGAATTCCTGGAACCTTGTGCTTCTGCTCTTTACATTCTACATCCAATGGATCACGGACAACTAAGAATCCCATTTGACTCAAAACAATACCATCACAATTTACATCAACTTCTATGTATCCAACATAAGGAATCTCTAAGCCATTAGCTGCCGTTATACGAAGACAGGGACTGTTCTGCTTAATAGTGCTTCCTGTTGGTTGCAAATGGTTGCGAAAGAAGTCCTCTGTGACAGTTGAGACCATGGATCCAGTGTCAATCAGACAGGTGGCATCAATATCTCCCAGTTTTATAGTGAGTATAGGACAATCAGCAACCAACTTGTTACCTTCCCCAAAAGTGGCGTGACATGACGAAATTGAAGTAGGGTCCACAACCTCCCTCTCTGCCGAGGGACCCAATTCGCAGAGAGTGTCTAGTTTTCCTGTGTGGACTTTGGTGCATTGATTACTTTGCGAAGTTCTTCGATGGTGTTGTTTGCGTCTTGTATCTGTCGTTTGTAGCAGTTGTCTTTAGTGTGGCCTGCTTTGTTACAATGATCACACTTGATTCTGTTGTTGTTTGGTGTTCTGTTGTATGCTTGTGGACTTCTGGATATATCTGTGAGCTTTTGATGCATCAGTTTAGTCAGATCCTCAATTTGCTTCTGTTGGGTATCCATTTGTTTCTGTTGTTTATACATTAGATCAATAAGTGTCTTGGTGTCTGACCTAGCAGTTGCTGCTTCAACTTGAACCTGTTTGGGTATCTGGATGTTTGTTGCCTCCTGCTTTTCTCCTTCTTCTGCCCATTCGATGGCCTCTGTCCGAAGTTCAAAGAATTCTAACGATGGAGACTCTCGTATCTTACTTTTAAGATACTTTCTGAGAAGGACATCAGAAACACCTTCTGCAAACTGATCCTTGAGCAAATGTTCCCGTTTCTCCATAAGTTGAGGAGATTTACGGGCTGCCCGTCCAAATAAATCCAAAAGAGAATGAGAAAAATCTCTCAAATTTTCTTCAGACTTCTGCTTCCTTTCAAAAAAAGCTCTTTGTAGTTGGACATTTGAGCCTTGATCGCCAAAAACCTCTCTTAGGACTGAGAATACCTCATCAAGATTATCCTTCCTATGATATTTAACTTCTTCACGGGCTGGACCACTAAGATGTTGTAAGGCAAAATCAACTTCAGCTTCCTTTGTCAAAGGTCGAGACTTAATTGCTGTGGTTATGTCATATATCCAATCTTCTAATTTAGTCACAGTTTGCCCAGAAAAAGAAGAAATCTTCTGACTAGGAACTACCAAGTA